AGGGTTTAGGGTTTAGGGTTTAGGGTTTAGGGTTTAGGGTTTAGGGTTTAGGGTTTGGGCATGGCTGCAGAGGCTGAGGGCCAGCTGGAGCTCTGGAGGGTGAAGCACCAACTTGAGGCCGAGCGCGAACTGCGAGTCAGTAAACCCTAAACCCTAAACCCTAAACCCTAAGCCGTAGATTTCCAGCCGTCAAGAACTGCTGGTACGGAAAGTGCTGGTGCTGCGGCTCCGAAGGATCGGCGGTTTAGGGTTAAACGTTTAGAGTTCAGGGTTTAGGGTTTAGGGTTTAGGGTTTGTGCTTCAGCGGACAGAGACGGCAATGCGCCAAAAGCTGGAGGAAGCGTTTGCAAGAGGGGAGCAGCAAAGAGAGCAGGCAAGTCAACCTGCTGCTGCTGCTGTTGTTGCTGCTGCTGCTGCTGTTGTTACTGCTGCTGCTGCTGCACGCGCAAGCTGTTCTGGCGCCCGTGTGGAGTGTACCGACGCTGCAGGAGCTGCAGCAGCGGAAGCAGCAGCTGCAACAGCTCCAGCAGCAGCTGCGGCTGATGACGGAACAGCTGCAGCAAAAGGCTGTGGAAGTATGTGCAAACGCTAAACCCTAAACCTCAAACCCTAAACCCTAGGCCCGCCAGCTTGTGCACTGCAGCTCTCAAGGGGACTGCTGGGGGAGCTGCTGTCAAGCGCTGTTGCTGCTGCTGCTGCTGCTTTGCTGCAGCTGCAACAGCGGGAATGCCGGCTGCAGCAGGAGCAGCAAATGCTTGCTGCTGCTGCTGCTGATGCCGAGCTGCGGCTTGCTGCTGACTGCCGCCAGACCAAGGAAGCAGCGGAGCACGCCCTGCGTCTGGAGTCGCAGCAGCAGCAGTAAACCCTAAACCCTAAACCCTAAACCCTAGCAGGCTTTAGCTAGCCCCCTGTGACGTGCTGCACGCCCACGGTGCTGCGGGCTTTGCTGGTGCTGCGCCTGACTCAGGTTGCTGCAGCAGCAGCTGCAGCAGGCTTCGGCTGTTGCTGCTGCTGCTGCTGCCCGTGCTGCAGCAGCAGAAGCAGAAGCAGCACAATGCAGAAGAGAACTTTGCGAGTCTCCTGTTGCGCATTTAAAGGCCCAGCTGCAGCTCAAAACCTACCAAGTAAACCCTAAACCCTAAACCCTAGCTGCAAAGCGACAGCTTGGCCGTAGAGCCCACAAGGAAAGAAAACCCTTCATCCCTAAACCCTATTTAGCAGTTTGAAAGCGCTACAAACCCTAAACCCTAATCAGCGGTTTGGAAGCGCTCCAAACCCTAAACCCTAGCTGCCCCTAGACCTCTCAAAACCCTAACTTTCTGGGACCCCTAAACCCCATTTACAAAACCCTAAACCCCCGCAAACCCTAAACCCTAAACCCTCATCTTCCGCCGAGCCCCACGGCGAAGTGCCGGCGGTCTTGGCTAGGTCTCTGCAGACCGCATGAGGGTCTAGGGTTTAGGGTTTAGGGTTTGTGCACAGGCTCAGGACCTGGCCCAAAAGCTGGACATAATGACAGCTTCTCGCAACCACTTTCTCAGGAGCTGCTCGTTGCTGCTGCGGCAGCTGCAGGCCCTCAAAGAAGTAAACCCTAAACCCTAAACCCTAAACCCTAGCGTGTGTTGGGCCCTCACAAGCCCCTTCAGCCAGGCCTACTCCAGCAAAGCCTTACGCTATCTAAACCCTAAAAAGCGAAGTGCGGTGCCATGCCGATAAATTAGGGTTTAGGGTTTAGGGTTTAGGGTTTGTAGCCCAACCACGGAAGAGCCAACAAGGACAAAGAACAGACGTGCATCCGCCTGTGTGCTGCTGCTGCTGCTGCTGCTGCTTCTGCTGCAGCAGCAGGAACTGTCTCCAGTCCCCTGGGAGGCTGAGCTAGAGGAAAAGCTGCAGGCAGTGCAGCGGGAAATCGGAGGCCTCAGCCACGTGCTGCAGCAGCAGCAGCAGCGGCAGCAGCAG